TGGTTATTTTTGAAAGTGTGGATTGTGGCTTGTGCATGTGGTCATTTTTGGGCTGCCTATTGAAGTTGGGCCTTTGATTTCTTTTATAAATCAGCTTTTTGTCAACAAATTGATGCTTCTTGATCATCTGCATCATTTTGTCGGGGATATCAATGAGATTGACAGAGATCATGGAGATTGATGAAAATCACGAAAATTGATCATGTAATAATTATGTATAAACTTGTATTTACCATATTTAAGTCGATTACATGTACGATATTTAGATTGATACTATAGTTATATAATGTAATACTCTTCCTATATGATGCAAGAAATCCCTATCGAAAGATTATTCAGTCAAAAATTTGTCATGTTGTACAAGTGTAGTTGTGTTGGGAAAGTGTTCTTCGCTTGTCAAAAAATTTAATAAATATATAAAAATTACGACATGTCATGTGTCTTGTCAGACCCATGTTTGAGGAGCGTTGGTGTCTGATATGGGACCACCATGCAATCCCAATAGTATCTGTACTTCATAGACTATAATATTATTTTCTTTCTTGGGCTTGCTTTGTGCTAACCAATGCATTTTTTGATTTAGGTTCCACCCGAGTTACATGAGGCCTTCATATCGGCCATTGATAAAGGAAATATTCGAACAATGCCAAACAGAAGCATGCCAGCAGCTCCCCAACCTACTCCCGGAGCCTTGTTAATGGGTGATGCCTTCAACATGCGTCATCCTTTAACCGGTGGAGGCATGACAGTGGCACTCTCTGATATTGTTGTGCTCCGGAATCTTCTTAAGCCCCTGCACAACTTGAAGGATGCAGACGCATTGTGTAAATATCTCGAGTCCTTTTACACTTTGCGCAAGGTAAGGCCTAGATTCATCAGTCCTAATCTTTCCTTTTTTTGTTCAAATATTTTACTGCTGCATGTATCAAATTAATTGCCTGGTTAATGACTAATTTAGTTTATACCTTTTTTCCTTCCCCATTCTTTTGTGGAGTTGAGTTAGAACCTTATTGGTTATTTGTATGTTGACTGCTATGTTCAGTTCTCATTCATCATAATTTAAAGTTTGTGACTAAGGAATCCAATTCACCCTTGTCTTTTCAGTTAGATAATGTACAATTGTGGAAGCATGCAAGTCTAAAGAGTCTAATCATTACAGTAATCAAGTTCTAATTTTTATATTTACTGGGTTTTTGATATGGTCCTTGTTTTGCAGCCAGTGGCCTCTACGATTAATACTTTGGCTGGAGCCCTACACAAAGTTTTTTGTGCTTCGTCTGATCAAGCAAGGTTGGAAATGCGTCAAGCATGCTTTGATTACTTGAGCCTTGGCGGTGTTTGTTCGAGAGGACCTGTGGCTTTGCTTTCGGGTCTAAATCCTCGCCCACTGAGTTTAGTGTTCCATTTCTTTGCTGTTGCTATATATGGCATTGGTCGTTTATTGATACCATTTCCTTCTCCCCAACGGCTGTGGATTGGAGCTAGATTGATTTTGGTATGTACCTGATTTATCCTTCAATGCATGGCTAAAAGAAATTGTAGTCATGCCTATTTCCTTCTCCAATTTGCATCTTGGAAATATAATAATGACTACGCTCTCGATTTTTGACTGAGCAATTTCTCAGGACAACATTGTAGTCAGGTTTGCTTGAAGCCATGCATACAACTGTTTGCTAGGCATGCTAAGCACCACATTAGTGCATAAAATGGCTTCAATGGTTTATGAATTATACAAGAAACACAAAAAATTCTAGAATTTTCAAGTGCTCGCAGCAGAACTTGTTTGTATTGGTCATGTAGTAAAATACTCGACCTTAACTACCGAGAACATTAACACCAAGACTTCACTCGCATACTGAGGCCATCATCTGTTAATTTAATTTGGCCTTCCACATAGGGGTTTCCAAAGTTTATACTTTAAACTTAATTCGATATATTTGAGGTGGAAGATCATGTCATCTTTTGTATTTAATTGACTCTTCCCGCCACTTTTTGTTTTCCAGGGTGCGTCGGGTATCATTTTTCCCATCATAAAGGCAGAAGGAGTTCGACAAATGTTCTTTCCTGCTAGTGTTCCATCATACTATAGAGCTCCTCCGCTCAAATGAAAGTAGCATCATGAACAAGGATGGAACAAAATGTAAAGCCTGAAGAACAGTTATGGCATATTTGGTAAACTGTGTAAAATGAACTAAATTTCTGTCTAGTATATTTTTTTGGGACGATGTAATACTGCATATCCAATATGCAGTTGGTTCTTCTTTTTCAAATCACAGTTTCTTGCCTTTTGTTCAAAGTTGTATACAGAATTTAGCAGCATATAATTGTTTAAACCAGTGTTTTAGAAAGCGGCGCCTAGGCATAGCGGGAGCAAAATGTCTCGCTTCGTGCTTTTTTGTGCGTTTTCATTTTTCTTATTATTTTTTTTCATGCCTAGGTGTGCTTAGTGCACGCTTTTTTAACGCTTTTTACGCTTTTTTTTCCTTCAATTATTAAATAATTTTGAGATTGATTTTAAAATTTAAAATAATATTAAAATAAGAAAATGTTTTTTTTTTTACGCTTTTTAATGCTTAGGTTTCGTCTAAGCTCGTCTAGGCTGAAGTTCGATCTTCACGCTTTATCATGCTTAACATTTCTTTAGAACATTGGTTTAAACTTGCAGAAATTGATATATATTGCGAATATATCTCAAGGTAGGGTACATGAGGAAATGGAGGTAATGGACTGATCATTGCCGATGATCATTGCTCTCTTCCACTCCTGTATTTTAAAATTTCTCTCTCCCGGACGTGCAGATGACCAATACTCTTCCGTCGCTCACCATCACTAACATTTTCACAACTACCTTCCATGGCGTTCATAATTCCACATCTGGGTCTCAAGGTTGATGGAAACATCTTTCGCCTTCCAACCACTCTTTCTGACAATGAGAAAGTTCAAATCTTGCTCATGAGTTTTGGATATGGTGAGATGAGCTTATTTTGGGAGCCATTATTGCCTCAATGTCCGAAGAAACCCAAATGTATGTTACAGCCTGCAGTACATCTCTTGAAGCATGGAATAAACTTGAAGAAAGGTATGCTAAGAATTCGTGTGGGCGAATCCTTGGCATCAAAGCAAGACTAGCTACTTTGCATGGTACTCGATCAATTTCTGAATAATAGATATGGACGACATCTCAATTATAATGGAGGTTCAAATGAGAATTGACAACTTCAATCTCTACTGTAAGAATTCTGGTTCAACACAAAATTTTAACACCAACAATAGTAAAAATTATACGAGAAGCAAGGTCATTCTGCACGAACAAATTCTTGACTCCCCCCAACCCCCACTCCCACAATGGATGTATCGGCACGTGTTATGTCCTATGTTCAATAAACTTTGGATTAAACACTTTTAATATATAATTGATACATTTCATATATAGCAGATCTATTATTTTATTGAATTAAATAATAGAATTCATAAATTCAAATTTTGGTAATTTGTTAATCACAATGAGTTATAATTGTGAGATACAAATTACATATAACTAAATCTTAAATCATCCATGGTTGTAAGTAATAATGAAATATGTATATCTTTATTATGGGTAGAACATTACGTGTAGCATTTCTTACTTGTAAAGTAAGTAGCTGATTTTATAAGTTAAAGTGTGGTGACACTTAAATAAATACGTGAATGTTTTGTTATAGAACAAAATATTGGACTCGCTGGGGTGATTCCAGATGGATAACTATGTGAGTGTCAGTGGTTAGTTTCCAACGTTTAGTAGTGAAATTGGTTCTTAGATTTGAGGTCATTATAGTGCATTATATGAAGACAGTCATATTTTGGTGATGTTGGATGTTGTTCTACCAAAGGTCGCTAATAGACGTTGTTCGGGGTATGTCAAGAATCATATGAAAGTTGTGAATGATCAATAGAAGATTCGACACTCTTAGATAATAAGAGATTATAATGTAAATTTTATTCAATTAAGTTGATAACAAAATCCTTGGGCTAGGTATACTCATAAGTCGAAAAAAGTTTTCGACTTACATTGACTTAATAGTGTGATGAAATATATGATCAATTTCGAGATCGACACACATTCATATTTCGTAATTGATCGGATTATATTGATGAATAGATTATAGTTTCACGGTAAACGAACAATTTTGATTTTGTCATCTACGTGACATTTTTTGTGACATGTATCACCTTAACATATTGTTAGATGTCATCTCGGACGACAGATGTAAATTGATGATAAATTAAAATGAGATATTCCAATTTATCGATTTTGATTAAATCAAAATAAAAATTCATGTTGTTAGACATTATAATCTGGAACCTAATAAGTCACACATAAAAGGAGAATCAGAGGAATGTGATTCACCAATTAGTTAATTAGCAAGTGTTTGACAATTAATTAATCGAGTTGTTGTTAACATGCCCAAATTAGTTAATTAGATTAATTAATTCATGGGCCAAATTTAATTAATTAGATTAATTAAATATTAGACCGACTTAAGTTTAAGAGACATGCCAAGCTCACTTGGACTTATATTAATAAGCTACTAAGATTCCAGAATGAATAGAATATGATTCATATTCTTGCTAACACAAGAAAAAAGAAACCATAATTCTCTTATTCTTATTTCATGTGTGAATTTTTATTGGAGGCTGAACAATTGAACAGTTGTGGATTGCAGATTATGATTGTTCGTGTTCCAAAATCTGCAAAAGAGTTTGTAAAATTTACAAAAAAGTATAATTCCTATCAAAGTTTCTATCTAAACACAAAGTAGATCGGTGGTGGGAATTGAAATTATTTTATTTTTCGCTGTGCATGATTAAGTAAATTCCCAACAATATCATCCACCTTCTTACTGTTACCTACACTTCATGGTAGAAATTAGACCCGGAGCCTATCTAGCAAATTATTCCAATCTATTGTCAAACTATAGCTCTCAAATATATCCCACTTCCTCGTGGCTAATGGATTCAAGCTCTTCACATCATTTTACAACAGACCTCACATGAGTAGGATGGGATTGATTATCGTTGATGATGGTAAAGGACTCGAGATCACTCGTACAAGCTCAACTAAATTACCGTTTCTAAGCTTTGTAGTTCTAATGATGTTTGTGTTGAAAAGTGGGATAAATTGCACACCCAGATAAGCTCACATTGTCATATTATCTTATGACTTGGTAAGAAGTGGAAGGGTTGTACACATTTTTAGATCCCAATGTTAGCAAATGCACACTGGTTTGCAGTTGTTTTGCAAAGTCTACTATATATGCATACGACCCTGATAAGTGCTATCATACCCAAAGTCAGCTTGAGAAGAACTTAAGAGTCCATGCGCTTTATGATCTCTAAAATGGATAGGGTAGCAAATATTCAAAATGATGATAAACTAGCAGTTGAGAAGATAGATGGCACACTAAAACAAAATATATTGTAATTTATTTGCATGGTGATTTATACTTTTAGTCAGATTTATTTAAATGTTAAAAAATCTTGTTCTATTTCTTTGCATGGTGATTGTGGTGTATTCAGAATCAAGTTTATAGAATCTCTAAGCATTGGATAGTTGGCACTCTTCATTAACAATCATCATATGTCCAAGTGGAGGACGAAGCTAGTGCGCGATTTTCATATACTTAACTATGACCAGTAGTATTTTTAAATCTACTTCGTAAATATGTTATTTTTTGTACAAGGTCATTTAAGGTTTGTAAATTATGATTTATATCAAATGTTATGAATTTATAGATGTTTTCAAGTTGTAAATGTTCATCGACAATCTACAATCATAGATTTACATATCGTACTAACATCAAATTCATAAATAAATATTGTACCAACTGGCATTAAAATAATCATCTTGTGACTGTTAGCAAGTGGAACCTGACTACTAGGGTTTCGACGAGTGTGCTTTTGCACCATACTTGTTGCACTTACTACTGTGGGAGAGCTCTCCAGTGGATGGTGTTGTAGATCTGCATCTAGGATGTTGTCACATTAGCCGTGGTAACAAATCGAGTGAGCTAATATGATCAGAAACTTCTCATTCAACTTCATTTGGTATGAGAAATATAGTTTTGACATATGCTGCTCCGCAAAAATCAATTGTGTATGAGTGAGCTCAAAACTCTCTATGCATTGTGACGGTAACTGCATGCACACATCGAAAACTCTCTACCTGAAACTTTCTACATGTGCAAGTGTTGTCATTCAATTCAATACATATCGCATGTTGGTTCCACATCTCACGTCAAATTGAAACTTATCTAAGGGCTTTACATATACCTTCTAAGCCACCTCAAGTGTATTGAAAAGTTTTTCTTCCATTGTCAGGGTTAGCATGCTTATACACATATGTGAATCCATACGTCAATTATAAAACCATTCCTACAACTAACTGCAAATATGCTCAATCAGTTCAAGAATTAGTAACTCTCGATCTTTTCTTAAACAATAAATTCAAAGTTGCATTGTTTGATGTCATCATATTGTACCAAATTCTCGTAAAATATGACATTACCCAATGTTCAACCCATATGTCGTTTAAATATTCCCTATCCTTCTTAGATTTACTATATATCTATCCAATATATTTTTTGAATTCTTCAAAACGGTATGCCTCCACTACTTTTTTAAACAACGATAAGATCCCAGGAACTCAATACTTAATCTTCAAATTGCTTTGTATATGGTACGTGCAGTAATCATGATGTACATTGGTATAAATATCTCTGACATCTTTTCTTATACTACCACCCAATTCAGATAAAAAAGGTCCTCGACGTCCATCGTTACTTTGCTCAACTTTGTAAAAAGCTAATTCAACAAGTCATTATTCTCGGAATCAACTTTGTCAAATGTAAGAGAATAAATTTGAATATGTGCATTTTAACATATAATAATAATAATAATAATAATAATAATAATAATAATAATAATTGTCGTACCTTCATATTTTCCTTTCAAAGACGTTCCATCGATATAAATTAGGTGTCCATTGATAAATCTTTGGATGCAAGGTACAAATGCCATGGAGATGTATTTGAAGTGGTTGTCGACATCATCTCAACAAAAAACACTGTCA